GATTAATAATAAAAACACAGATTCAATTACAGTTACTTATCTGTACATAAATTTTAAAAATTTATATAATAAAAAAACTTGCAATTTTTTAAAGCAATTTTTTAAAAAATGTGGTGCACTAAATTTCATTCAGACTGTTTACGTTTTATACTCGTTATAAAAATGCTTGTTGTCATGTTCAAACTGCTATTATAGCTTTATTTTCTTGATAATATTATGTATTTTAAAAAAAATTATATATTTTCATATATTATATAGTCGAGTTTATATATATCAGCCTCAATATAATGACTTCCGGACATTATGAACACAAAATTTTAAATTTAATAACAGTTTAGTATAGAAAGTGTCATGGGTTCTTAAGAAAGCATAGTAATTTTCTACAATTTTTTTTTTCAAAACCGGTATTTGGTTATAAAAAGAGTTAACTTTAATTTATTCTGTTCGCTGAACAAAATACTATTTAGTAGCAATTAATTATACTTCGATAAACAAAATATTATAATAATTTATTATATTTGCTAAAAAATATCTATAGCAGGTTAATATGCTTGAAAATGGCCATTGTATTGACAATAGTCATGCAAGGGGTATTATCGCGAGGATGATCTCCAATCTGTGATTTAGCCTTACGTAACCAGAGTTAGATATTTTATGGAAAGTAGGCGGAAGATAATCTTTAGTGCTTCATTCTTTCGCTGCCCGATTGATATCTAGCTCTTAGTGTTTAGTGCTTGTCGTGAAAAAAAAAAAAATGACAGACTCAAATATATCAAAAAATGACTTATCTGATATTTGCCGTAGTTTAGGCATATCCACCGAAGGGAATAAAGCAGACCTTGTACAAAGGTTAAAGAAATACCAAACAAATGAACCCCGTAAGAAAAATGTGGACGGAATGAAGTTCACAAATGATGAAGCTGATGACGAATCAGTAATATCTAATCATAATAGTAAAACTACTAAAATGTTAAATCCTGAAACACAAACGTTGAGAGAATTACTTCAGAAGAACAAGCGCCCATTACACGCTGTGTCATCATTGGTTTTCTCCAAGATGCAGCAGAAACAGCTAACAACCCACAGCAGACCAATAAGACTAAAAAACAGAAATTACAAGCCGAAGAGGAGGATAATTCTGATCCATTAATTGAGAGAGTATTATTAGGGTTTCAAAAATTGGAAAACACCATACTAAACTTTGATAACAAACTGACCTCAATGGCACACCAAGTCCAAGAAACACGTAGCAAGGCAGAGATTAAGGAAGCTTGGCCGAAATATAAGTTTGAGAAGTATCGCGATCAACATGAATATAATATACTGCGCCAAATTGGTAGGGAACTAGATTTGACTATAGATTCCAGAAATATGGCTAACACAGCAAGTCATATTGAGGCCACAAAAGAGTTGGTAGGGAATAGGATGTTTACCTTGAGGGTAGCTGATAGTTTTGGTTAGGACATTGCCTCAGCCTTACCTGACACCCAAGATGATTGGTTAAAAGAAAAGGATAATCTAATTAAAAGGCAAATGCATTAGTTGAAGTGAAAAAACATAAAAAACAGAAGTCTTATGACTCAGTCAAGCTATTGGAGTATCGGCATTAGGGATATAACAATCAAGGCAGAAATCAGAATAGTCACAATGATAGCTATTCGGATGACTCCCAAAGGTTTTTTCGTCAAAGCTTCCAATCCAACACTACACCTTATCATCCTCAAAAAAGTGCTTCATTTGTAGCGGTTATGGCCACTTTGCAAACGCCTGCCCCTCAGATCCAAATAAGCACCAACTCAGCAAAAATACCAGACTGGATATAAGTCAAAAAGATATCGCCTCCACTTTCATCAATCTTTCTATTTCTGAATTCAACCAGGTGAGCTGGCTTTCTGTTAGGGGATACTGCAGCAGGTCCAGTTGCGCCGCCAATTCTAATAGGCCTTTTGAAAATAAAGGAACTCCTTCCTTCAACCATCTGACTATAGCTCTGAAGCTCGGATTTTTTTCACCCAATACTGTACATGGGTTTCTAGGTGAATACATCTCATCTCGTTACTTTTAAATTCTGCTAGATCCGAGCGTAGTCAATCATATCTAGCATAATCTTGTGGTCTGTTATACTGATTTTTGTAGGCTGAGTATCTTTTTGACTTATATCCAGTCTGGTATTTTT